TCCGCCTACTGATTTTTTTATATCATTGCACATGCCTGCCAATGACGTGCTTAAGTTGTATGTTTGCTGAAAAATGGTTTATGTCTGACTTTAGCTCTGACTCCCATGCTCATCGGCCCTCCCCAGCAAAAAAAAGAAAAAAAATGTGCAATTAAGTCATGAAGGAGGAACAGTTCAATTGGCAGTTTACCGCCTCAATTACCAACATAATCCATGTGACACAGTGTTAATAAGATAAACAAGTAAAGGGTACTTGGGCTAAGTGCTGACAACAAGGCACTCTTGGTGATAACTAAACACCACTGCACATTTTGGGAGATGGGGAAACAGTTGGCACAAAGTACTGAGGTCGTCTGCCAATGTGGCCTGCATGCAGCCAGCATGGAATTTGAATGCGGAGCAAATGTAATAAATGCAAGTAAAGGTGGAGCTACAAGTTTGTTTTCGTGCTTTTATGGGCTTTCTGTAAATTGAAGAGTCTTCCTCTGTCTCATCAGACCCGCCTCCTCCACCTCCACTTGTATTTTGACAGCTTGTTTGTGACCATTATATCCCCATGCTTATTCCGCTTGGTTCCTGTGCCGGTTGTCATTTCACTGGCTGGTAGTTGGTCTTTCACTGCTTTAGCTCTTTTCCACCTATTAAGGTCCTCAAAGCACTTCACACTGACTTCCCATTCACCTACTGATGACGGAGCATCAAGAGTAACTTCGAGTTCAGTGTCTCACTTGATAACACTTAGCATGGTCACAAGGTCCAAGTATTGAACCGACATCCTTTGGGTTAGGGGACGACCACCCTAAACCTGAGCCATGACACGATTTCTTTTGAATTTCCCTTCTCATGTTAACTGTGGGGTGGCCCGGTTGTCTGGTGGTTAGCGCGTCGACCTCACAGTGCAGAGGTTCAATTCCAGCTCCAGTCTCCCTGTGTGGGGTTTGCATGTACTCCTCGGGCCTGCGTGGGTTTTCTCCCGGTACTCCGGTTTCCTCCCACATTCCAAAAACATGCATGGCAGGCTGACTGAACACTTTAAATTGTCCCTAGGTGTGGGTGTGAGCGCGGATGGTTGTTTGTCTCTGTGTGCCCTGCGATTGGCTGGCAACCGGTTCAGGGTGCCCTCCGCCTACTGGCCGAAGACAGCTGGGATAGGCCCCAGCACCCCCTTGTGAGGATAAGCGGATCGGAAAATGGATGGACGGATGTTAACTGTGACAGGATAAACCAGAAATAAACGGGACATGTAATCATCTCCAAGTACATATAAGACTGGGCATATTCCTACTGTGGTGTCACATTAAGAATCAAAGCATCATGGTAAATAACAACATCATGCCGCCAAGCCATCATAATACAGATTCTCTGCTAGATGTTGATTTTGACACAGAATTGAGTTGGTGGACTAAAGCTTGGAGCTTTTCAATACACAGACACATGCACACACAAGCACGCACACAGAGCATTTTCCTTGGAGTGACCAGGTCAGCTCTAAAAGCAGACTTCATCAACAGTGCCTGTACTGTTGGGCAAATGGTGAGGGAGTCACCGCCTCAAAGATTCAGTTCACTTACTGTATTCTTGGAAACACTGTTGATATATGGTCCATTTTGCTTTCAGTTTAGCCTTCCTGTTGCACTTTCATGTGCAGCCTTGAATGCATGGCAACAGTGAAAATGTGAGGCCATGCACATCGCACATGTGCCACGATGAAGCTACAAGCTACAAAAGGGAGTAATGAGCAGAAAAAATAAAAATAAAAAAAGGAGCCTTCCATCTGTATCTTTGGGTGTTCTCCATCAATACAGCCCACCTCTGCATTTCTTTTGCAGCACACATTTAACATGACTGTAATCGTAATTAAAAAGTCCAAATATAATTCTTGAGCTGTATGATGGCCTCTATATTGAGAGACAACAAAAAAAAAGCCAATGTCAAGCATACCTTGGGAATCTTTATTTTCTTGGCCACGATGCCAAGCTTTTAGGCTTATTACTGTCGACAAAATGGGGATAAACGCGGTCTGTAATTACTTGTGCTCCCCAATGGGTAATGGCAACATTCTCAGGGAGCTTAGAAGCTACTTCGCGTATAATTGACTGCTGGGCTACATCACATGCTGCTCTGAGCTTTCTCAGTTTTTTTCTGCACCATTTCTTTTGAGGAGATTATTATTTTGTATAAAATTTGTTACCTGCAACATGAGGAGGTGTTACATATTACCTTTATAGACACATCAAACCTTGAAAGTGAATTTTTTGCCACAATGACACACGATGTAGATGTGTGCGCACTTGTATGATTCCATGTAGACTGTTGAATAAAATAATTGTAAATCGCTGTTTTTGTAGATTGACTTGCCCTCATTAGGGTTGAGGCAAATTTGCGCAAATCCCAGCTGTATTTAGGTGAGAGGTGAGGTAAACCATGGGCCAGTCAATCATAGCGTACAGAAACAACCGTTCATACTCGCAGTCACTACTTTAGACAATGTTGAATTTTCAATTAACCGAACAAGCATACTTTTGGGATGTGAGAGCAAACTAAGGTACTCAGAGGAAAAACACACACACACACACACACACACACACACACACACACACACACACACACACACACACAAACACACACACACACACACACACACACACAACCACACTGGGCACATAATGACAGCCAAGGCACATGTGAACTAAACGCCTGCTTAGGGCCAAGTGTAACACTTGTATTGGTTGTAGTGAGAAGTGAGACAGCTGTGGTGGGGAGCCAAGCGGGACCCCAACAAAATCCTACTCAGAGCCCCATAAATGCTTTGGCCAGAACATCATTTTATCAGTTTATTTTCCCTCATGCTAAGTCGTTTTATACTATTTGCAGCATTTTGGCCGTAACTATTTTGGGGCGGATAGTATTGGTGCTTATCGTTGTTGTTTGTGCTTATGAATGAGTGGTCCATTTACAACAACTGGGTTATAGCATTCTCCTTTATGTTAACACTTTCCACCCTTTATTCTTTTTTGCATTGAGCTTAACCATTTGCTCTAGTTTTAGCCATGATATGTTTTTTGTTTTTTTTCTGGAGGCGGGGGGGGGGGGGGGGGGGGTTGTTTGTTTCGAATGCTACACCTGTGAGGAGCTTTCTCCCAACATGATGGAGTCCACTCAGTGAATAATTAATTTTGGAGGTCATACAGAGACAGTGCGAGAGCCGGCGATTAACTAAGAGGGAGAACTAAATGGGTCAGATTTGAAACATTAGTTCTATATTTGTGTCACTCGCCAGCTGTTGCAAAACTGCACTTGTTTGTTTGTATTCAAACCTTGCTTCCAATGGTAGTCCAAATAGTCCAATCAATTTTCAGGGGGCAAGGGGCTTAAGGCAATATGGCTCACCCCAAAGTTTACTTCATTCCTTGACCTGATAACTCAAAACACTCAAATATCGAATCGTCTTTCCTCATTGAGATGAATGGAAAAATAAATGGATATGAATCCATTCCAAACAACATTTGCAACGTGTTTAATATGGAAGACATAGCCCTCTATGAAATTCAAATTTACCGGTATTAAAACATACAGTCATGACATAATTAAATACAGTTAAAAAGATTTGAAACAGTTTTTCATCATACTTTCTACTTCACCTCTGCTGCTCATTCTGTGGGCGCACCATGAGCACCTGGGGGAAGCATAACAAATAAATATTATTATTGCAGCAGTAATAATTGTCATTCTTTAAAGAGGATAGAGAATGTATGCTGGGGAGAATAGTTATATGGTCTCTCTGCAAGTGTTGCAGCACCGATTGTGTTCAGATATCCATTGATTAAAGGGTAACAACTCATCAATGCTAATTGTTACCATTCCGGTAGTGGAGGCTGTGTGGTTACTTTCAATACATTATTTGTAACGCTCTCTGTTTTATGTTTAGTTTGACAGTAAACTTCATCTGCATGCAATGCAAATGAATGCAAACACTTTGTTTTTCTTCTTTCTTCTTTCTACCCACAATTTTACTGCTGTAGACTGTAAATGTCCCCAGTGTGGGACAAATAAAGGATATTTTATCTTATCTTATCTGAAAGTGGAAAAGACAGTCTCTTTTTAAAATGATACTTACTACAGTAATCAGTGTATCATATATCTGTCGAAAAAAATGCTTATGTGTGAGTTGAGTCATCCAGCATTGTATAGTGTTCGTTTCTCAAGTCTACGCTTGCAATTCAATGTAAAAAAAAAATCAGCAAATGGACGGTTCATACCTTGAGAAACTCGTAAATTCAAGCATCACTGTATTGTGTTGAGATTTTGTCTTTCCCATGAGACTGGTAAAGGTAACGCTGCTGTCTGTACCTGGTAACTTGCCTTTTTGAAAACTTCCAAACAGGGTCTTTTACTGGACGCAGGTGGTGTAGGAGATCAGACTTTTGGTGAAGCTTGGCGCTTTTTTTTTTTTTAACCAAGCCTCACTGTGGCTTTCGGATTGTGTTGTTTCAAATGTTTGTTCAATAATGTCGTTCTACTGTGTGAAACTGATTTGTCATAGGTGTGGCACCATCTGGAACGTTATCGAGATTTTCTAAAATAGAAACACACGTAGTTTTTTTTTTTTTTTTGCGTCATTCTTTCCCGCATTCTTACTGGCTGTTTTGAAGATGTACTTTTCACATAACATGGACCAGCGCAATATACCATCATAGACAGGCTTGTATCAGCACAGTAATTGAAGTACGCTATTATCCAAAACAGTTGAAGGTCATCTGTGCATCAACTAAGTTTTTTAAATTTGTGAGTTTAAATTTTATCATTTGTTCATTTTTTTAAATGTATTTTTGTGCATGCAAATACTTTTTGTTTTTCTACTTTCTTCCTTTCAAATTTTACTGCTGTGAATTTCTCCATTGTGAGACAAATAAAGGTTTTCTTATCTTATTAAATTGATGCCAAATACTGTGAGTAGCAATATATTGTTACCACTATATCCATAAAACCATCCCGAGCAGCAGATCTTCCTTCTGAACTTTCACACCATTTTCTATGTCCTCTCCATCAAAGTCTTTCTATGTTTAATGACAAAAAAAAAAAAAAGCTTCCACTGTGACGATACGACAGTTAATGGTTCCCAAAGTGGCAAGCACACTTTAAATCGATTGGTGATCTCATAATGGGTTCAGGCACAAACTTTTCTCCAGAAGAAATGACGTCCATATGCCTAGATCTGAAAGGCTCCAGATCTCTTGGCTATGTGCATACCATATCGGGAGCAAAGCAGGTGAGACAAACCTTTAAAAGCCTTCACGTCTCCTCATGAGCTGCAGTTCCCTCTGTGAAATGAGAACGCATATCATGCTTAGTAGTGTGTGCAGAGGTGTTTGAGTGGGAACTCACAATGCAGAACATTCAGTTCAGTCTGCTGTTACCAACAAGGAAAGGCAGCAATAATGGAAAGGCCCTGCACTTTGAGCTTGTCATTGATCCAGCGGTCCACTGTCTGAAACATTAAAAAGGCTATTCCCCGCTCCTTTTTATTCATGTAGCATTTAATCTAGATCCACAATAAATCCTACCTATTTCTGATTAATTTACATGGACAGACGTGGATAAAAGTGCCATTTGAAAATGAATGAAACATATAGGTCTTTCAAAAGGGACAGCTGGGAAGGTTTTGAAACTTTATTTGAAAATTTATTTTTGTGGTTTTTGCATAATGGGAATGGGAATCTGGTTCTCATTGTCTTTCTAAAAGGTTACAATTTACTAATGTGACCTTCAGGTTTGGACTTTTTTTTTTTTTTATCCCTTGTATGGCATATCCTTTCGTGGGAAGCTGGTATCTGTCAGCCCTAATGGCCAGACAGGATAGTTTAGACCTTTTCACTGGAATCTTTTGTTGTGGAAGTGCTCTATAAACAAAGTGGAGTTGAGATGGTGCCCATTTAGACACCATAATTGCAGAAACTGCACAGAGCCGCTGTCTGAGGTTTTACCAGCATTTAGTCAGCTTTAAACATACTTCCCCATTCTGTCTCAGATGAAGCAAATCGAGCCAAATTCAGGCTAAAATGATTTGATTCAATTCACATTTCTGTTACAAATGTTGAGAATAATGCCAAAATACACAGCAATGCATCTGGTTTGCCCAATGCTTTTGTGATGTCTTTATCAAATAAACATTCTGTGTTACAACGAGGCATGTCAGAATATTGCAACTTGGATCTGGTTTGCCAGATTTCACCCCTCTAGCCAAATCATCAGACGCTTTCTTTTATTTTTTTGATGCATGTTTTTTTTTAACTTGTCAATGCTGAAATGTCTCAATTGTGTCAATGTTAGTGCACCTAACATCAGCAGGCGGCACATGAACCTAAATTCAACCCGTGCCATGACAATACCTGAACCATTCTGGTCCTTCGACTTCTGTTTTGCATTTCCAAACAAATGAGGGGAATAGAAGGCTAGTGGTTCGATGAATGACTAAGTGCACCTTGAGAAACTGGGGCACTGCTTTCTGTGTGAGTGCATATGTTGTTTCAAAAGGTTTGCATGACTCAACTTTATGCTGCCAACCACGATTCTAAGAGATGGGCCAGACAGTACATCGCAAAACAGCCTCCATATGCTCGGTGAAATCCATGAAAAACAACCTTGACAGCCACAGTAACAAACTGTCAGCATGCAGCGTCGACTTATTTTATAACTTCCACTCATTTATTTGATCATCCTGACAAAAGCAGCACATGGCGGCTGCATTATGGATTAGGTGACACCGGTAAACTGTTGACGTTCACTTCCGAGAGCGTGTTATTTTTTTGTTGTACGTTTGAGTTGGCACTTTGAGGCTGTTTGTAACTATAAAGAAGAAATTCCATTGCTGTTACGAGCTTGAAAGACTTACTGAGATGCTTCAGTGCACTTATGGGTTGGATTCAGGTTCTACAAGGTTGCTGCTGCAGTCATCAGCCCATTTCACATCCCTGTATCAAAACATCAAGGCTCTGCGGGGTGCTGACGGCGCTCAAAGCTTTTAGCTGACTCATTGTTTCACAGCCAGGCCCACTTTGCCAACCCTGTCCCATTTGTTAGCACTTGGACAGGTTGGAGCTCATGTTTTAACAGCAGAGACATCGGCCATGAAGTAAGCAAGCCCAGACATTTCAATTTGTGCTCTTTTTTTTTTTTTTTCCAGTCGAGCATCTCTTCCATCTGTTGTTTTTGGCTCAGTCTAATACACTTAATGAACTGACATAAGCAATTAACAAACCCATCTGTACATGTTTCTGATGGTGGCCTTTTGTAAGTGTAAAATAAATGATTAGCTTTTAGGGATTTTTTTTCCCGCTAAATGAATATATTTATTTTAAATAGTAATCAACAGAAGATGGCCAAAATTGCAGTGGCCAAATGGCCTGAAGTTTGACGACACATCTTGCTAGCCATGACAAGTTTTTGGATTTTTGACACTGAACTTCATCAAACTTTCATCAGACATAAAAGTTTGATGGCGTTTAGTGTCAAAGGCAAATTCATATCTGTTTTCAATTACATCAAATGTGAAATGGTGAAGATAGCTAAACTTACTGAAGCCGCCTAATCGGCTGGCTGATTTAAACGTATGACATACGCACTTTTGAAATCAGGATGATTTTTTTTTTTTCTCACACAAAACATTACAACATGGGACAAACATTATTATTATTATTATTATAATTATTATAATTATTATTATTATTAATAATAATAATAATAATAATAATAATAAAACTCTACATTCAAACATTTCCCTACAAAAAAATCGTCTGATTTTGCAAAGTTCTTGTAAAGTTAAACAAATACTAAAGGACAAGGTTTTGTGAAACAGTCAAATGTTCTGCCTGTTATTCATATTTTTATTGTTCTCAGGCTGAGCTATCAAGGACAATATTTTATCCATCCTGTACATAATTATGATTAATCAACTGATGAAATGTCAATTTAATTCTGCTACATATCCAATTAGGCATCTGCCTCAAAAATACCAATTGGGCCCTTCTGAAAACGACTGATATGCGAAAGTCGGCTTTAGGAGTTAAATAGAAGATTGATGCCTAGCTGCAGTACCCTTTGTCTTTTTTCAGCAGCTAATAATCTTTCTTCATCAACAAACTGGTAAGAGAACACTGAACTTCATCATATGAGCATTATATATCGAAATAACTTATTGCCAAGAATTTGTCCCTCAGCCATGCATTGGGGTTAAAATATTTACAGCCCCGACAGTACCTCTCATAGTTGTCTGCACTTCCTATCATATGATTTCTGTGCGGTCGCCAGTGTGTGATCAATGAGCAGTTGTCATTTCAATTACAGTAGTCAGCTCTCAGCTTGACAGGACTCACGTTCTGCCTTTTGATGAGTGACACCAAACGATGAAAAGATTGAAGTCAACAGCACTCACGACATATCATTCCAGCCGTCTTCCCACCAAGGTTTAGAATTATGAATCCTCATTTGTTTTGTGTGACAATTTCAGGCTGCATTAGTGGGAAAGCTGTGTCAACACACTTTCCATAAAGATTGTGACATCATAGTAGCAACCCTTGTACAACAGACACTTAAACAAAGGAACCTCAAATGAGTACATCTGACATTTTGTATTCTATTTTCATGCACGTGCCTGTTTATTACTCGAGGAAGACAAGCTTTTATTTTTGAGAACCATGAAACAGAAGAAAAATTAAACCAAGCAAGTAGGACTTGACATCAAATTCATCCTTTAGCGTTGGACATTTATCTCCTCAGACAGCTGCCATAAGTCACCATGAAGTGTTTTCATATGCTGTATAATTGCTTATTTGCCCTCCGAGGATGAGGATGATGAGAATTCAGGGAAAAGGAGAATGCATCTTATTTTTTCAAATAAAAATAAAAGTAATGAAAAATGGATATGTCAGCAACATCATTGATCTTTGTGTGGGGGTTGTTTTTTCATTGTTTTTTTCTTTTTTTTCCCCAAGTGCAAAAAAATATATATCCGGACATTGCACACTCAAACACGAACAAATAACACCAGAAAATGCATTTTAAAGAAAATCTATAGATGAGTTTCAAATGTTTGTAAACGTTGCCTCCAAGATGCTCGTGCATCTTAATGACGTCACTGTTGTTTGCAAAGACGGGCATTCTTAATTGCCTCCTCAGTCCAATTCTCACGTCGTCGTCAAGCTTGTAACCATAACGTTCATAGTTTTTTTCTGAAAGCGGTGTTTGCCAGCAGGAATTCCATAAAAGACTAGATCTCTGTGTGTGCTCTTTCCATTCTGAGAACCCACAGCACGAGACGATTACGACTCACAAGCATGTGTTTTCTGCCTCCAAGATGCGCGCAGCCAGACTTAATGTATGCATACGTCACATGAAACTGATCTATTGAGCAGTTTCGTTACAGGCTGTAGATAAAATCAATTCTAGGCTATATTTGCGCTTCATGGTTACCATGACACGATTTCGATACGCATGATAGCAGCATAAAGAGAAAGGAATGCGTGATATACTCACATGGGAATAGGCCCATTATGTGTATGTACTGTACATGAGGAAGTAAGGGGAATGGGAAGAGCTGCTGTCCACAATGTTGTCTGTCTGATCACTGATGTTATTGCAAGCAAGAAACATCACAGGTACCAGGATGTTTAAAATATGCAAGCAGTATTTACTGTATACTTTACATATCTGAGAAAAAGATTACAACAGTACCCATTTTTAATTACAAAACCTTTTACAGGAATTAACATTCATCAAAATTGCCTTCTAAGAGAGGTGAAGAGGCTTGTGTTGGTGGCGCAGAACGCTGCTCTCACTTGACTCGTAGCCTTTGCTGCTGGAGGCGCTGACGGTGTCGCTGAGGTTTTTAAAATGGAGAAAAACATTGTGATGGGTAGCGCTATGACGTTCATTTTACCTTCTTATGAGTTGAAATAGGTTTAAGTTTTCTTTTTTATGAGACAATGGTCTGTTTTTAGTGAAGAAAAAAACAGT